CTGTGTTAAATTGGATGCTAAGAGAACACTTGAAATTTTTAAAGACTCTAATCATAGGGGGGATTATATACGCATTTTAGAAGCTAGAAAGGAAGGTAGTAGATTCCTTCATATCCCCTTTGGAGTTAATGATGATGGGCCAACTCAGTTCCTTAAGGCTATTAGGTGCTTTTTTTGAGAGAGTTCGATGTTTGGACAAGGATAAGGGGTTTGGGGAGTTTGGGGAAGCAGTAGGTGTTTCAGGGGGTAGGGAATTTGAGGTTGCTGGCTTGGCTGGTCCAGTGCACTCTAGTGTAGATTTACGTTCTCTTGCTGCTAATGAACTGGTATTAGAGCAGGTGTCGAAGGACCATGAGTTAAGCCCGACTCGAAAAACCAACGGGTTAGGAGATTCTGATACCCAATCCAATCTGGTTTTGCTGCTAGATGTGGTAGACTCAACCCAAATTTGTCAAAAGTGTGAAGAGGGATTAAGAGTACAACTTATGGTAGGGCAGGATATACATCACGGCTCAACTGATCAGAATGATGGCCTGGCAGAATCTCTTGAACTGGATGTACATAAGCAAAAGGATAAGTTTGCTCTGGCAGAGACTCATTCATCATACAATTTTCATTACCCCCAGCTTCCAAGAGTGCGCCTATCCCCTTTTGCTGCCGAATTCATTCCAATTATGCCCAACACTTATGCAGCTCTCTTTGATCAAGTCGACCTGGAAGATGGCAGCCCACTCAAGGAAGATGAGTTTGACAATTTTGATGAAGAAAACCTGGTACTAAGTAACAATGCACTAGAAGACATCAGGGAAGATAGAGAGGGGCCTATTCTATATACCCACTCGGAAGGAGAAGACAAGGCCTTCAATGACAACATTCTAAAACCTCTTCAAATAGATTTCTCTAGGATGTTCAAAACACCTTTTGATGTGGGGCGAGATTTCAAGGGCAGGATCACCTATTCTCCTTCTCAAATTGTAACACAAAGTAGGGCAAAGATTTTGGAAGAAGGAAGAAAGAAAAATCCACTTGACAGAAGACATTAGGAACTTTTTCAGATGGTTCAGAGATTAACTTAGCAGAAGACATTAGGAACTTTTTCATGGAATGCTATCCAAACAAACTAGAAAAAATAACCAAGAAGTTGGACACATTTAAGCCGTTAACCAAGAGCCAAAAGAAAAAGTCTAAAAAGAAACTTAAGAAGCAAATGACAAAAGGGCAGGAAAAGGAAGAATCTGATTGACTGGAGATATTTGACTAGTTTTCTAGGACATTTCTAGGCTCTGATTTGCTGTGTGCTTCCATAGGGTTGAGGGGAATCATGATTGATGAAGATTATTAAAATATGATCTATTGGGCAGGACTAGTTAAGGGCCTAGTTTGCTTTAGGGCAATTTCTGTCTTGGTTTCTCCTATTTGCTGGTTCTCCTTTTATCTTGAATGTTGGGGAGGGTAGTATCAAATTGACCTGCTACTAGTTTATACGCTGTACACTCAATCTTGGAGGTTCTTTACTTGTGCTTGGGAGTTCAATACTCAAATATCTTCATGATGGAAGTCAACATTATTGAGATATATATGCAGGTTCTCTTAGAGATCACATCTAGTTTGAGTATCTTATTTAGATATGGTTCCTCTTGGATGCACAGATCATGCCTCTACACAACTGACCCTCTGCAGTGTTCTATGAATGGGAATTGTGATTCTCTCTCTTATCCTCACACCCATCGAAGTTTGTTTGATATGGGGATGTTGGCGGTATACATAGCAGACCCTAGAGTTTAGTACAGTTTTCTCATCTTTTGAACTTTTATTCTTGTTGCCTCGTAGTAGTTTTTATTGTATTTGTCTTTTGGGTCTTTTCTCCTTTTTATTTTGGCCTTATTGTTGGGGTTCCTTTTGGCCACCCCCACCTTTGTAACCCTGTCTTTTATTAGCTTTAATAAATTTTCTTTAATATATATATATATACACACACACACACACACACACACACACATATATATATACACACACACATATATATATATACACATATATACATATCTATATACATACATATATACATACATATATATATATATACACATATATACATACCTACATACACACACACACACACACACATATATATGATGGATACCCTCGACATGGGGTATCCGGACTTTGTATAATAATAGTTGGGGCGGTCTAGTCTATTTGACCGGCCCGTTAGTCATTTATTAATTATTTATTTATGGGCGGCCTAGTCTGTTGGGTCGGCCCATTATTCGTATATTTGTTATTTAGGACGGCCCAATCTGTTGGGCCGGCCCATTAGTCCGAAACCCTAACCCTAGCTCCTCTATTTATGGTCCTCTTCTTGGAAGAGGAGAGGGGAGGGGAAAAAAGAAGGCTCAACATACACCCACACTATTCATCTTCTTCCTCACACCCTTCTCTTTCTTCCCCCCTATTGGGTTCCATAACCCAACAATGGTGCTCTCATTGAGAGATCGAACGCATCAAGCGTGCTCTCTTCAATTTTCTTTAACTTCTCTGTAAAAACCGAACTTATGTTCGGAGGACTGTGCAGTTCATCATTTTTCATCCAATGAACTACTATCCGCAGCAAGTAGCAACTGCCGGTGGAACTCCAATCGGCGGTCCACGAGGAAGAAGAGGCTCAGTTTTTCCCTTTGAGACTCGATCCGGGCTGGTAGTGACGGACCTGGGTCAAATTTTCGACCCGACCCAGGCGGAGCTCTCTCCACCGTCGACGGTGCCCAGACGCGGTCTAATAGCTTCAGCGGCTCTAGGTTCTACTACAGCTATTCTTACAATCTGCCCCTGCTCCGTTAAGGTTTCCGGCGACTCCGTTCTTTTTTGCGGCGATGTTGTTGCTATTCGTCTTCGTGGCGGTTTGATGAGACTGCCCGTACATGTCTCTAGGGTCGCCTTCACCAATGACGAGATCTGGCAATTTCCGGTGAACCATCATCGATTGACCACTGTCTATTTGGACCTAATGTGGGCAGGAAAACACCATTCGGGCTATTGTACTGTCAGCAGTGCCCAACGACGGTCCGACAACTCCGGCGGATTAAAATTCAACGACGGTCAGGGGCGTGGCTACTCTTACCATTCGCGAGTCCCCGTCGAGTGTTCGAGGCTAGAAACCGACAATATTACCTCTAACCAAACAGCTGGCACCGTTAGTGTATGTTATTTCCGGTTGACCATCGGGGCTAATCGGTTTCCTTGAAAGGAAATTGGATGTCGGGTAGAGCCCGATGTAATCAAAGCTCTCGGCGAAGCCCTTAGTTAGAATCTCCGAGGGGGACTTGGAATCGCCGTTGCCGATGTGGCTTGATCTCGCAGCAAGCACGGGCGGAACCGCCAAATTGGCACGAGCGCCGGTGGAGATTTTCAAGATGGTTGCCGCTCATGACTACATCTCGCAGATGATGGGTGAAGTTCCTTCGCAATGCCGGCGGTGGTGACGATTAAGCTTAAAATGGCACCCGCGTGACGTGGGCGATGGAGGAACCGCCGTCTAGCTATCCTCTGCCGCAGCGACCGACGCCAGCGAAACCCAGCAGCAACCGACCACAGCTCCACGTGTTGACGGCCGACCGCCAGCCGTTGATTACAGCAGATGTGCCGAACGGCCAATAGGGGCAGGGACGCATCCTCTACTTTACAGCCTGTAAAGGAGGAGTCAGGCAAGTGGGCTTGTTATAATCATTCCTACTTAATAAAATGGGGTACGGTGTCAGGTGTGATTTATTGAAATTGGAGGCAAGGGAAGTCACCACAGCAGCGGAAGTCAAGGGACTCAAGGGTCGACCCTGTTACGCTGCTACTGCTGGGCGAAGGTCACGGCGATGTTCTCCATCGCATGAGCAACAAATCCGGAGCAGCAAATCTGTTTCTCAGGCCGATGACGAAGGAGTGTTATTTTCGATTTATTTTCCCGACAACCATGGCAGACCATCAGACGAAGTGTGTTGCAGCGGCAAAGTAGACATGGGGTCAGTTTCTGCGCTCCAACCCATAATCAGGCAAGTGCCCATGTCTTTTTATTATTGTTCCGTATCGTGCAAAAGGAAGAGAGTGAGTCAATTTTGCATTAGTTGAACCATAGCCAAGCAAGTGGCCTTGTCAATTTTGAGCACTCTCATATTATTACTCCGTAAAAAAAATGCATAAAGTGAAGAGGGCCAGATTCAATTTTAATTGATAACCCACAAGTGAGTGAAATTAGTCAAGTACTACCATTATTATGCTCATCTAGATACAAAGAGGTCAGATTTTATATTTAGACCAGTAACGGAGGACTCATACTCATTTCATGTTCTATACAATTTTGTTGCATTTCTATTGGGATTTATACAAGGACAAGTAGCCGAAAAGGGGATCCATTAATTGGGGTCCATACTCATTTTATGTTCGGTACAATTTGATGCAAATTTGTTGAAACTTATGCACGGACAAGTACCTATGAGAAGATTTATTAATTGTGGTCCGTTGTTGGGGCAATCTCGTTGAGAAATGCCCGACGTTCACCATCATCAATTTGGTTTCTTCATCCGGGTTCTGAGAAGACTCTATTTTTCACCCTCCCTCTTATGCATCTGGGTCAAAATCTCATGCGACCGAGCGCACGGAGACGGCCGACTACGTGACCATTTCAGAGGCCGGGTTTATAATTTTGGTAGAGCTCAAACCAAGCATGGGAGAATGACCGAGTCCGAGTGCAAGATCATGACGACTAGAGTTCGTATGGCAGTGTTGTAAGACCCCGTTCGGCGATGGTAATCTTAGCCGACCAAATTTGCTGATGCCAGGTGTACTATATGTGGCAGGGTGCCTGTTCTGATTCAGAATAACTTGAGGGGCCTTGTGAATTTTGTCATATTCTTCTCTTCATTTAGCAAAGTACATGCTCTGATATCCGAGTATGATGATATCCATCACTTCTGATCGACCTGCCTTCATGGTTTAGCGGGGATATGCACCAACTCCTTATTTATATGATTCCTACTCATATTTCGCCACTACTCAGACTTGCGCCATGTTTGCTTCTACAACTTGGGTATTTCGTCCAAGAAAGAAAAGAAAAAGAAAGATCATTAAAAAAAATAATATCGCTTCCACGCGATTTCGTGTTCGCTTCTACGCGACTTTGTGCAGCTGTGCACCATCGGGCTTCCACGCCACGATAAGGCCTCACGCGGTCCTCGTCATTGCGCGAGGAAATCCCTCTGGAGGGTATATCAAGGTCCTGCTTAGGACAAAATCTTGCCAGTCCTGCTTAGGACAAATATTAGATCTGCTGAGATCGCACTTTTACGCTACCACGCGTCATCGGCACCATGCCGCTCAACAAAAAAGGCAACAGCAACGAAGGAATCTTTCATATTTTGTCTTTCAGGTACAAAGTGGAAGACCACATGAAATTTGCAACCGAGCCCACCTAGCAGAGCTCACGGATGGCACATTATTTCACCTTTTCCCGAGGTTGGCCTCAGCCACCTCGCATGGTACTCAAGCCCTCGTCTCTCGAGTCAATCAAAAGCCCTCTCCCGAGGTCGGCCCTGTTCACCTCACGAGGCACCCAAACCCTTGTCTCCCAAGGTAACTAAAGGCCCTCTCCCGAGGTCGGCCCTAGCCACCTCACGAGGCACTCGACTATTTTCCCAAGGTCGGCCTCGGCCACCTTGCAAGTTGCTTAAGCCCTCGTCTCCCGAGGCACCCAAAAGTCCTCTCCCAAGGTTGGCCCTATCCACCTCGCGAGGCACTTAAGTCCTCGTCCCCCGAGGCATCCCAAAGTCCTCTCCCGAGGTTGGTCCCATCCACCTCACGAGGCACTTGACTCTTTTCCCGAGGTCGGCCCCGGTCACCTCGCAAGCAATTAACCCCTCGTCTCTCGAGGCAACCAAAGCCCTCTCCTGAGGTCGGCCCTAGCTACCTCACGAGGCAATTAACTTTTTCCCGAGGTCGGCCTCGGCCACCTTGCCAGTAACTCAAGCCCTCCCCCGAGGTCGGTCCCATCAACCTCACGAGGCACTTAAGCCCTCGTCTCCCGAGGCAACTAAAAGTCCTCTCCCGAGGTCGGCCTCGGCCACCTCACGAGGCACTACAGTTATCTCCCAAACAACTTCCACTGCTTTCCCGAGGTTGGCCTTGACCGCCCCGCAAGCAAGGCATATAAGCCCTCGTCCCACGAGGCATCCTAAGTCCTTTTCCCGAGGCACTCTTCAATGTCGTTCAAGGCACACCCCCTAGCCCACTTTCTAGGGCACGGTCTTAATTACTCTAAAGATGGGCGGCCTGGCCAGGCTGATTGGCCAAGCCCATCAAATTATTTGCATTTGTTTGAGATTTTTTCAGGTAAATCATTATATGAAGGGAAGTCGTCGCAGAGCGAGGGGACTACAGACTCCCACCGGAGCCGAGCATTGGCACTATTCCCTTTCACCTCGGAATTCTTCCTCGGCTTAGGGAGTGGGGTACTCGGCTCGTGATTGTTACACCGCACACCGTGAAAGTTTGGCAGATCAACATCTTGATCTAATATGGCACAACAGCAGTTCTTGCCGGCATGCACTCTTTGGCAATATGGCGAACAGCCCGCGACTCCGGACAACGAGTCCGGGGGACTCGAAGAGCGCCTCTTCCGAGTTCACACAGTTTCTTTACTCGAAGACCTCGCACCCTTTTTCAATGTCTCTTGATTCACCTTATGGGACGAGATGTACTCTTTTCTTGACCGAGGATTTTTTCCCATCCTCATGGGTTTTTTTCCTCGGCAAGTTTTTAATGAGGCATCCCCCATAGAGTGAGCCACACATTGATGGGGTTTGGAGAGGATCCTTGAAGACGAAAGATGGACTGCATATGACGACTCCATCACCCACTATTATTGTGATCGTTGTGCGTTGAACAACGAACAGATGATGCCCTTTGTACAAGGGCAGATCATTTCAAGACAATGAGCAGATCGGTGCAGACTTTTCTACCTTGCCGCTCCGGACAACGAGTCGGCAGTGCACCTTGTACTCATGGAGGCAATTTCTTTGGCATTACCGCTCTGGACAGCGAGTCGGCAGTGCACGTCACGCTGATGGGTGCAATTTCTTCCACTCTACCACTCCGGACAGCGAGTTGGCAGCACACTTCACGCTCATTGCTACACTTTCTGTCACTCTGCCACTCTGGACAGCGAGTCGGCAGCGCACATCGTGCTCAATACTACGATTTCTTTTATTTTGCCACTACGGACAACGAGTTGGCGGTGCACCTCGTACTCATTGATGCAGACCCTTTCACTTTGCCGCTCTAGGCATCTAGTCGGCAATGCACTTCATATCCATGGATGCAGATTCTTTCACCTCGCCTTACTCTAGACAACGAGTTGGCATTACATCTTCAAACTGATGGCGTTGCTTGCCTTACTTCACCGTGCTCGGGACAGCGAGTTGGCGGTGCTCTAGAAACCAATGAAGACGGTGTCCTTCCGTGGTGGATTTTTGCTTTACTTCCACTTCACCTCAAGTTCCTCTCGGCTTGGAAAGTGGGGGACTCATGATGGATACCCTGGACATGGGGTATCCGAACTTTGTATAATATTAGTTGGGGCGGTCTAGTCTGTTTGACCGGCCCGTTAGTCATTTATTAATTATTTATTTATGGGCAGCCTAGTCTGTTGGGTCGGCCCATTATTCGTATATTTGTTATTTAGGGCGGCCCAGTCTGTTGGGCCGGCCCATTAGTCCGAAACCCTAACCCTAGCTCCTCTAGTTATACTCCTCTTCTTGGAAGAGGAGAGGGGAGGGGAAAAAAGAAGGCTCAACATACACCCACACTATTCATCTTCTTCCTCACACCCTTCTCCTTCTTCCCTACCCTTGGGTTCCATAACCCAACTATATATATATATATATATATATATATATATATATATATATATATATATATATATATAAATAATGAGAGTATTAAATTTAAAACAAGAAAAATGAAAAAAATTGGTCACTAAAAGTAACACCTTTTAACTAGGGTTTTTTCCTCTCATTAAAAATGTGCAAATAACTCATTTAATGAGAGTATTATCAACCCGTCGCCGTAACTAAAAGTCCTTTTTCTTGTAGTGTACTTAGATTTGCTGAGACTGCAAACTACAATAAGGGTGAGCATGACCCAATTGAACCAAAAATTTCCCAAAAAAACCAAACCAAAAAATGCCTAATCAAAAAAATACTGAAAAAAATCGAGATGTACCGAAGCAAATAATCGGTTTGGTATTTGGGAATGATATGAGATTATTTCTCATACCGAAATTTCCAAACCAAAGATATATCCTAATATACTATAAATATAATATTCTTGTTATATTTATTCATTAAATAATAAGTTTGTATAACATTTTGCTTCAAATTTTCTTATGTGTATATTATTGTTTTATTCGAGTTTTAAATTTTTTGTATATGAATTTAAAATATTAACAAGAATTCAGAATACTTGTTAAAATTTCAAGAAATTCAAGAAAAGCTTATGAAACTTAGTTTATATTTCACAAACTGAAGAAAATTAATAATAAAAAAAATAGTATTCTGAATTCTTGTTAATGAAAAATAGTATTTTGAATTCTTGTTAATAAAAAATAGTATTCTGAATTCTTGTTTAAAACTCGAATAAAAGAATAAGGTACACAAGAAAATTTGAAGCAAAATCTTAAACAAACTTATTATTTAATGAAAAAAATATAATAAGAGTACTATATTTATTGTATATTAGAATATATCTTTGGTTCGGAAATTTTAGTATGAGAAATAATCCCATACCATTTCCAAATACCAAACTGATTATTCGCTTCGGTACGATTTGATTTTTTTCAGTATTTTTTTGGTTAGGCTTTTTTCAGCTTGATTTTTTGGGAATTTTTGGGTCCAATTGGGTCATGCTCTCCACTACTAAGTCTGCAAGCCATATTTAGTGCTCAGCCACAAAATAAATCTAAGCAGAAAATTAGAACAAAAGATTAATTCACACCGGAGAATTAGATGCCTTTCAAACATAAAAATACACATCTAGGAAAACTTACGTGGGCATATCTAAAGGGAACGCATCACTCATATATAGAGATTAATATGAACACATTGACTGCTGAAATGCATTTCTTACCGGCATGTGGTAAGAGCTTTGCTTGGCACTGTTGTATTCTTCTACATTTGAATATGATTTCTATTTAAGTAACTCTAGAAATGATTGAAGTGAAAACCAAGTATAATTAAGAGCACAAGGGAGACTGATGTGAGATCGGGTGGGGAGAATAGAAGATTAAGTTGCCTGGCCATTTTGTTCTTCAAGCCAACGCTTTTCTTCTCTTAAAAGTTTAATTTGATTGCCCTAATAATTCTTAAAATTGTCACTTTCCATTTTTGGCTTGTTTCAAATCATATAGCAAACAAAAGCTCAATTTGAAGCAAATTACAGGGCTTTTTGAGCTAGATTTATTCCATGAGCGTCTAGGATTTAAATAACTCTGGTGGTTTGACCAATAAAGCCAATTTTCGGTAAAAGACATAATTACATTTTGCAAATTAGACAAGCAAAATTAAAACGAAAAAACTAACAAAAGTAACATATCATGTCAGTGAATTGGAATTTGTATTACAAAATACTATTTTGCCTTTTGTTTATGCTATAAATTTCTATTTTAATAATAGCTTGTGTAAATTCGTTTATGCTATAAATTTCTATTTTAATACTCCCTCCGTCCCGCTATATTCGTCCACTTTTGACTTTTGGAACTGTTCATCTAAGCACTTTGACTCATCAAATTCTCTCAATGTGTAAGCCTAAATATAGTCATTCGTGATCTTGTTTGATTTGTCTTAACATATAGATTATTAATATATAATTTCTATAATTTTTTAATATACAAATTACAAGATAAAATGGATTAAAGAAGTGCATTGGATGGTGTGCAAAAATGAAAGTGGACAAATATAGTGGGACGGAGGAAGTAATAGCTTATGTTAATTCATTTCTTACACAATAATTTTAAAATTCTATTAAAATTTATATTATATCTATCATAGTTAGAACTCTTGTTGTATATATATAGTTAGAGACTCATTAAACATTGACAACGAAAATCTATAATTAAAATTTTCTATATTTCATATGAAAAATATATTCCGTAAAGCATTTCAAGAAAAACTAAACAAGCAAATTATAAGAGCTAGCACATGTTCCATTACAGCAATTTATATATCTCAATGAGTTTAATTTTGGTACATACAAACCTTGATCTTTTGGTTCATTTCTTCGAACTGTTACTTGTCTCTTTCATTGCTAATACTTAACTCACACCTAAAACACATACTTAGGACATGTGATTGTTATATAGAAGTAATGATATTTACCCATGCATTATAATGTTCCAAATATCTCGGGCCAATTTTACATATAGTTTTGGATCAAATAAACACCAAATTAATACTCAAGACTACATGGTGACATTAATGTCAAGTCACTGTAACGACCCGAAAACCGGCTTAGTAGTTAGCCGTAATTTTAATAAAAAATAAACATAATATTTATTTACTCTAAAATATGGATTATTGGTAAAGTTATCTGTTTTAGATGAAAATTGGGTTTTCGGATAGATCTCGAAAAATGGTGAACAGCGACATATAATTTGTTAAATTTGGACATACGTGTAAAGCGTGGTGAGTAAAATAGACATTACAGTTCAATAAATAAATATAAGGATTTTATAATAAAATAATAATAAATTAATATAATATTCCTAATTCTACCCGTACAAGGTTTCCCAAACCCTCCCCACCACTACTATAATATAAATACATATATACACACAACACCAACACACGCCACACGAAAAGAAAGAGAGCAAACAGAACTGGAAGGAAATAAAACATATACGGAGTGCTGATCGTGAACGAAGAGGAACAGAGCCGCGTTACAGTAGGGAAACAGTTGAGGGGAGAGTTGGTTAAGAAGTTGTTGAGTGGTTAGAGGTAGTTGAAGATATTTTCCAAAATATCTCCCCTTTAAATACCCCAAGATACATTGTACATTGATATGTTCAGTAATGAAATAACTCTTTTCTACATCCTTCTTCTTCCCCACTTCTCTGTCACGTAACAGAAGCTTTACAGCTTCTGTGTTTTAGCTCATCCTCGAAGATCTCTTCTCCATTACAAGATCTTCCTGCATTGACGCTAACATTGGTATCAGAGCTGATTCCATCCTGGCAAGAACAAGAAATCAATCACGTAGAGAACAAGAAACGAACATGGAGAATGTGCAGCACAATCAATTGAAGGCGATTCTGGAACAACAATTGGCGTCTCAGAACCCAAAAATTGAGGAGATACGAGCGGAGCAACAGAATATGTTGAGCAAGATGATGCAAATCCTGGAAAAATCCAACAGTAATGAAAACAGAGTTGAATCTGAGGTAATCGGAAATGAAAGAAACGATAGAAGTTCTTTCAAATTCTTACCTAAACTCGAATTTCCAGTGTTTAATGGCTCTAATCCTCGAAATTGGGTAAAGAAATGTGTTCGCTATTTCAATCTCTGTAAAATTCCTGAGAATCAGAGATTGGATGTGGCTTCCATTCATCTCACAGGCAAGGCTGAGACTTGGTTTTCCAGCT